CCAGCCCCTTTATTATCTTTTTAAAACTATGTTTTGAATTAGGTGTGGTTGTTCAGACCTTTAATCTCAGTACTCAGAAGGTAGAAGAAGGTGATTTATTTATTTATTTACTTACTTACTTATTTATTTATTTATTTATTTATTTTTTGAGTTTGAGGTCAGCCTGGTCTACAAATGAGTTTCAGGCCAGTCAGACCTACATAATGAGATCTTGTCTCAAAATAGAAAAAAAAAAAAAGAAAGAAAGAAAAAAAGAAAAGAATTATGTCTTCATAGTATCTTTCTTAGCAACACTTTTTTTTTCCTTGTTTCGAATTCTGTTTGCCCATTTTGAGGGGAAGTTTGTCTTTTTCTCTACCTTTTTAACACTCTTACAGGATTTCGAGGTTCTTTAAACCAAGCCTACAGTTTCATTTACCAGAAACAGGTTTTGCAATCACATTTAAAGATTGCTATCTTCTGAAGATAAGGTAGGTCCCTTCAATGAGCCAGTGATTAACAAGGCTGTAAAAGCAATGGGTTGAGAAACAGCAGCAGCTGTCAGCATGCAAATGGTGCCCTTTCCCAGCTTCCTTTTACTAACTGAAGATCATCCACATATCTATGGATCTTTCCTACCTCACCCTGCCTCCACCATACACTGTCTACTTCCAACAGAAATCATAACTTAACTTCCCTACTTATATCAAGCAACTTTGTGTGTGTTCACGTGCATGCCGAAGACAGAGGCATTGTTCCTCAAGGCCATCTACCTTTTTCTTTTTCTTCCTCCCTCCCTCCCTCCCTCCCTCCCTCCCCTCCATCTGTCTTTCTTTTTCTTTTCTTTTTAGACATGATCTCTCACTAGCCTGGAACGCAGTAAGTGCGCTTATCTAGCTCTAGGGATCTGCTTGCCATCACACTTAGGTTTTGTTTTTGGTTTTTAACATTGATTCTAGGGACTCAACTAACGTCTGCTAAGCACCTTATTAACTGAGTTATCTCTCTAGCTACATAACAAGCACTTTGTATGTGTAGGTATGTGTCTGTACATGCAAGGGCAGTCAGAACACAGCGTTGGACATTGTTCTTCAGGCACTGGGATCAGCCAGCTAAGCTAGACTGGCTGACTGCCTGTCTCTGCCTCCCCAGCAGTAGGATGGCAGGCATGCAGCTCCTCTGTGGCCACATACATTTTTAACATGGGTTCTGGGAAGTCAATTCAGGTCTTTATACTTGCATAGCAAGCGCTTTACTGACAGAGCTGTCTCCCAACCAACATTCCAAGCACTTTTTTTTTTAGCATTATGTAGTATTTTTTCTCTGATAATTTTTTATTACTTTATGAATAATAGGAATCAAAATTTCCACTTCCTGCCCTCCTCCAAGTTCTTTCCAGCTCCCCCACTCACTTTCCTCCTCCCCCTCCAGTTCTCAAGAGAAGGCAGGGTACCCTGCCCTGTGGGAAGTCCAAGGCCCTCCCCCCTTCATTCAGGCTTAGGAAGGTGTGCATCCAAACAGAATAGGATCCCAAAAAGCCAGTACATGGAGTAGAGACAAATCCCAGTGCCATTATCATTGGCTTCTCAGTATGCCCCCATTGTCAGCCACATTCAGAGAGTCCAGTTTGATCCCATGCTCGTTCAGTCCCAGCCCAGCTGGCTTTGATGAGCTCCTATTAGTGCAGGCACACTGTCTCAGTGGGTGGATCAATTCCTCATGGTCCTGACTTCCTTGGTCATATTCTCTCTCTTTCTGCTCTTCAACTGGCCCTTGGGAGCTCAGTTCAAGCACTTGTAAGCTAACCTTTATTGAAAGTTATTCAAGCTGCTTCCTACTACTTCCCTTTAAACTCAAAACCAATACCATTAACAAATCCATTTTTATGTTATACTTCAATTCTTTTCTTTAAAAAAGTTTTATTCTGCTTTTTAAATTTATTTTTAAAATTTATTTAATTTTATTTTATGCACATGTGATATCTATCTGCATGCATGCCTGTACAACCACCTTTGTGTAAGCCCTGGGAGCCCAGAAGAAGGGGGCATATCCCCTGGACATGTCTGTAGTCTGTTACCCCAGTGCTGGATCCCTAGAGCTCACTGGCCAGCTAATCTAGACTAATCAGTGACTTAGAGGCAAAGTAACAGAACTTGACTAAAAATATGGTGGAGAGTAATAGAGGGAGACAACTGAAGTTGACTTCCAGCCTACAAATGCAAGGGCACACAAATGCATGCATACCTATACACACATATATACATGTACACTATACATAAACAAATACATAAAAATAAATAAAGCAATATAATTATGTTAAGGTCTAGTCTCTACTGTAAAAGAAATTGCAAACTTTGAAAAGTTTAAAGCAGGAGAGGTGATAAATTATATTTGAATCATTTAAAGATCAATATGGCTAATAATATACACAGTGGATCAAAATGGCCTTGACTGTATACACAAGACTTGCATAAGATCAAGCCAGTCAAGCATGAATGTAGAAGGGCCTTACAAAACCCCACCCTGAGATGAGGCGTTATTGGTAGTTGATGGTTGCTGGAAGGAAAACTCTGAAGTTATCTTCAGAGATGCATCCCTTGGAAGGTTGCTCTTGCTTCAGATAATGAACCTACAGCCATGTACACAAACATACCAGCAATACACAGTAGACATTGCAGTTAAGACAAGAGAGAACATGAAGTTAGGAGGAAGGCCTGGAAGCAGTAGCAGGAATCAAGGAAATGAGCCGAACTACAGTGGTAGTAGTAGAGACAAAATGAAGTAGATGGATTTGAAAAATATTTAGGATGTAAAAGTCAACAGGACTTGGTGAAGTATTAACTACACAAAAAGAAAAGAGAGACACTCACCCCAGAATACAATGGACTTCTGGTTTACATAATGAAACAAATGCTGCCGTTCACTAGGCAAAACTCAGTGAGTCAAAGAATATCAGGTTAATTTTTGGACAAAGCATATTTGAGGTGCCTTTTACTAGGAGATGAAGCCAGACCTATCTGCCCAGGACTCAGAGGTCTGCTTGGAGATATGTACTGGACAGTTACCTACATATCAGTATTGGCTGAAACAGAAGCATGAGGTGGCTGTCTAAGGAAAGAGGATAAAATAAGAAAACACAGAGGAACCCCAACTCTAATGATAGAGTAGATTTTAAACATGGCTAATGGTTATAAAATGAGACTCTTCTTTGACTAAATTTTAGTTCCCAACAAACATGGCTACACTGCAAATCCTGTTTTAGTTACTTGTGGTCATGTATACTTACGTAAAGTACTCATCAGTAGGCCACTGTTGTCATGAAATCTATTGCGGCTAGCATCAGTATCTGGAGTCCTGTACTGTGGCCTGGCAGACATGCTAGAATGTCCTGAGCTATATGTCCCTGGACCTGAAGGAGAGGATCGGTCATCATCTTCTGAATCGCTAGAACTATCCTCACTGCTTGAAGATGAGGTACTTTTGGAATCTGATGAACTGTCGCAACTACTCATCTGGTCCATTAGACTAGCTTCTGCCTTCAGTTCTGAAAGAAGAAATATAGGTAAAATAAATAACATGAAGAAACACAGTAACATGTAAATGCATTATCTTTTAAGAAGACTTTGATAAAATAAATAAATAAAATACATATTACAACATCTAAATTAACATTTATTTTTAAAAATGTCCTGTAGCATTGCTAACCAAGAGACTCCAAACACAGAGCCTGTTGATGTTGCCCTTGGTTATCTGGGGGTGGAAAGTAGGTCCTTGCTGTTGAAGATATCATGTGCTTCAGAAACAGGACCCGGAGACTCCTGAGCCAGAACCAACCTGAATGCCCTCTCTCTGAAAACTAACTTTTATGGTAGCAGAAGGTGTCATGCAAGCTTCCAATGGAAAGAGGCAACCAGCAGTCCCACCCAGCTACCATTTGCCTCTGAACAACATCAAGGACTAGCTTGACACGATAACCCTAAGAGAGCAGTGATTGTGCACACACCTTGGTGATACCAGCTGCTCTCTAATTGTACGTAAGACCCAGTCAACCAGAGACAGACCATACCTGGTACTGGAAACCTACTTAACTACTCGGTGCTAGTGAAGTCATGATTATTGGAAAAGGAACTACAACTACCAATTGACTAAAAAACCAACATAATTCTTGATAACAACCATCTATAAACATTTGTCCTTGCACCCACAGGTAAATGTAGTCTTCGCCCCTGATTGAAGAAACTTCTCCTTGCAACAGGCAGAGATCATAACAGAAAACCACAATCAAAATGGAGAGTTGTGGAGCCCAGTACTAACAGAAACAGCTAAAAGACACTCCTGAACCTCAGGGAACATCAGGGAAAAAGGGAACAGAAAGATTGTAAGGCTCAGAGGGTCAGGGAGTTTGCTGTGAGATTGTGTCTCCTAGTAATATCAGGAGTTAGACTCAGAGTTTACTGACCAAATGATAGTAAACAACAATGACACAAATGAGCATGGCAAACTGGACAAAGGAAAGTCCTTGTGGCCTCAGTTCTGAATGAAGAATATAGGCAACTGAGAAAATCTTGGAGTGAGAGAAATAGCCTTCACACACACACACACACACACACACACACACACACACACACACACAATCATAGAGCAGTCTTTGTTGTATTAAGCCACAGACTTCCTTTCCCCAGGAACTGTACTTCAATGCTAGTAAAGCCCCTTTGTCAAGTTCACCAGTAGGAACTCTAGTTGCAGGAAAACCAAAACAGACCTACAAAAGGTCTGGAATTAGAATGTCATTTGAAACATAGGCCACAAAAGCAGGCAAATATCTGCATGCTAAACCTGAACCTTGACTGCCTGCTAAGCAAAAGATTTAAATATTGTCCCTAGAATACAAACCAAAATGAAGATGTGCTGGGAAGTTACCTATTATGCTGTAAATCAGGAAAATCATAACTTGAATGAAGAAAGCCCACATCAATTCTCAGAGAAATTAGATGTAAGACTTATCTGAGAGGATCTTAAAATAACTTTCACAGAATGATTCAATTATAATTTCTCTTGAAGCAAATGAAAAAATTTTAAAAACTAGAAATTTTAAACACAGATCAAATGGAAACTGTAAAAACGACAGCACAACCCTCTAGGTAGAGAGCCCACACCAGAGACTGAATAAACCACTGGAACTCCCTTGATCTAAAGCAGAAAATATCTGAAACAAAGCGAACAGGTCCCCAAAGTTCTGCTGCAGAGTGACAAAAGTGCCAACATTTGTAGCAACTGAACTCTTAGAGGACAGAGAAAGGGGACTGAAAAATGATTGGGAGAAATAATGCCTGAAAACATCCTAAGGTTGATTAAAGACATCAACCATAGAGTCAAGAAGCCGAGCAAATCCCAAATAGAATAAACCCAAAGAAATGCATGCCAAGGTACATCAAAATTAAACATCTGAAAACTAAAGGCAAAGATAAAAGTTCTGAAGGCAAGAGAGACATGACCTATCACTGCAGAAGAATACTGTATAGGTAACATCATGTCTCTCAGTGAAAACTCAGAGGTGGCACAATGCTGTTTAAGTGCTGAAAGAAATGTCAGTGATGAACTCTGCATTTACCAAAAATAGTGTCCAGTAATGAAAGAGTAATAGATTTCCCTAGGAAGGGGACTAAAAGTATGTGTATTAAGGGAAGGAAAGTGAAAAGTGCTCCTCACTGAGCTTCTTGTTATGGTAGACCCCTTACCAGTGTCACCCAGTCTCAAAGTGCCTTTCAAGTGGGGAGAGAGAGATCTGAAGGCAGGGAAGGTCTCTGTGTGGTGGAGGGGAATGAGCATGTGACACAGTGTGGTGCCACATACACATGCCTTCGCCCCATGCAGGCTGCAGGAAGGGCAGCCTCAACCCAAGCACAGCGGAGCACTTTGGGACTGCAAGCACTCAGGTGGCATTATTCCTTTTACTGGTATACTCAGCTTCCTGGTGTCTCTGAGGAAGAGGGGAATCTTAGCGCCTATCTAATTTCTTAAACTGAACTTACAGATAACTCAAAGAAGTAAGTGCAAAAACTAATATACAAAATTTTCTAGTGTAAGTTCTATGAATTGGAAAAAATGACTCAACCATCAGAGCGTGGTCAGTAATGGGGCTGGAAAGATGGTCCAGCAATTAAGGGCACGCTCTTTCTGAGGACCCAAGTTTAGTTCCCAGCACCTTTGTCAGGTAGCTTACAACTACCTGTAACTCCAGGTTCTAGGAATCTGATGCCCTCGGCTGGCATCTGCAAGTGTGGATCTGCACACATGTGAACATACCTTCCTCCCACATACATACATATGAACATACATACATATCCCCCCACACATACTTTTAAATTAATATTTAAAAAGAAGTTAGTAGTACTGTAGGGTCAATAAGTATTTGATAGAATAATTTGATAGGATATAGTCTAGGGAACACGCTATAGAAATATCTCCAGATAGAGAATTTTCCTTTGTCATATAAATTTAGGACACGAAAACTGTTCTTGGTTCATGTTAACTGATTCTCTCTAACCCTATTCTGAATTATGACTTCCAAGCAATGCTTTAGTTGAGGTCTGACACAAAACGCACATGCAGGACCTTTTACTTACACCAAAGAATCACTCTTGAGGATACAATACAATATATTGCTTTCTAGAACTTATTCCATTCAATGAGTTGCTTTTAAGATTTAGTAGCAAGAGCTAGAAAGTTTCTTTGAAACCTATGTTAATATAATATATATCAAGATAACATAGAAAACACAAATTACATCTTTATTTTTTGTTTTGCTGGCTAGTAAGCACAGAACTAAATTCCATTTTAACTTTAATAGCTAGAATATTTACTTAAAATTTCCCCTTAATCCCTTAATTTTTAACTACATATATCTCTATATATATGTATATATTAATATAAAGATATATATTATAATATAATATATAGCATGATTCATATCTATTTTGGAAGTAGTCATAATATAAGATAAAATAAAATTAAAAATCTCTTGTAATAAGAACTTGGAGTTGACAGCTTCCTTACTGCTTGTAGAGACAAGACTAACCTGCTGGGGATTACATACTTTACTGGGCCTAAAAGGGAAGGGGGAGTTATTGAGATACATGCAAATTATGATGACAGAATATAGAAGCAACTAATTTACTTTGATGACTGGGGTCTTGATGCTATTACAATACTGTACCATCAATATCCTAACTGTAGCTGGGGGTGGAGGGGAAGAAGATTTAAGTTTCTTCCCTTTAAACGTTCTATACCTCCCCAGATATGCCTTCCTGCTAAGAGGGACACGGCAGATGAAACAACTCTCCTCCTGCTTCTGTTGGGTTGGTGCCTTAGACATCTACAACTAACTATAAACAATACATTTCATAGGAAGAGGCTATAAAGAACTGAATATGAAACACCTTTTTGCCCCAAATAGTTATAAAAAGAAATTATATGACATGAATATAATATGCTAATTTATATGTTACATCATTACCCCAGAAAAGGACACAATCAAACAGTGTTCTCTCACTAAGACCTATGGTTAGTTCCACTGCTAATGGAAATTCAAACTTTTACTCAATATTACTTACCTTTTATAAACTGAAATTATATATACTTAGATTTTACCTCTTTCAATATCATCCATTGGAGATGCGGGAGACATCTTATCTTCTGATGGAGAATGGTGTTCAAGGTTGGAAGTCCTAGGTGGATTCCACATTTGTTGCTGCTGTTGTTCTAGTCTATACTGAATTTTACTACTTCCTTCAACTCTGCAATTAAAAATATCAAATACCAAAATAGGCAAGATAGCAATGTAACAAATTCAACTTACTAAGTTACTAATTTTTTTCACTTGTTTTTTAGAAATCTCTCAAATGGCATTTAAGAATCAAAATGTTAATTCATTTAACAAATATTTATTGAGCTCCTTCTATATGTTTGGAATACAACACACCAGCGCAATAATGGATCCAAATGGAACAACGCAAAAAAGAAACAAAGCAAGAACAACCCTACTGCTCAAACTGAGCAGACAATCAGTTATAAATGACTAAGATAAAGAGAAAATATGTGTAAATTTATCATTTCTATTAAAACTGAATTGCTTCCACATTTTCAATTTGTAATTTTTAAACAGGCATGTTAACGATGGAGGTGTAAATACTTTTTTCAACATTTTAATGAAGAGTGTACTTCAAAGTTTTGTTTGAGGCTTGCCTTTCCCATTTCCTGTGATCAAATCTTACCAGTTTTTCCTTCCCAAAGTGTTTAGCCTCTCATTTTCTCTCACTCACTCACACTCTCCAAAATCTTGGTTTACACATTTTCCAGTTTTCAACATTGTTTCTTATCATTGGGTTTCATTGCTGGACTAATGTTTCAGACCAGAGCTGTAAACATGCCAGTCCCTAGTTTGAAATATCTTAATATGTAATCACTACCAGCAAGGAAACATTCTAATTTATTAGTTAATATTCGAGGCATTAAGCTCAACCTTCTTTTACAACCTAAACTCTAATCCCCTGCCAACATCATTCCCCAATTTCCAATTCTTACACAAGTGCAGAGACAGATATCTGCTCTGTTTAAATGAATCTTATTTTCTAGTCCCCCCAAAAAATCAGCTATATTCCTTCTTCCCACCTGCTTCATCTTGTACCTTTTTGGATCAGCTTAAGAGAGCTAGGGCAGCAGGGACATTAAGAAACAGAGGTTCTCGGATTTCTTCTCTCAGTTGAGGTTGACTTTGGGAATGACTACTTTTTAAAAGACATTGTCGTTAGCATAAGTTAGTTGCACAAAATAATGAGCTTCATTATGACATTTCCATACATATATAATGTGCTTTGATAATATTCATTGTTCAATCCCTCTCCCTTGCTTTCTCCCGTTATAGGTGCTTCTGTTTTAAACACACATTTAAGGCAATTCTTAGAATGTTAATTTCCTTTGAAGCAACATTTTTCTTTTCTTTTTAAACATTTATATTTAGATTTATTTATCTTATATTATGTGTGTTTTCTCTGTGTTTATGCATGTGTACCCATGAGTGCTTGGTACTTGTGGAGGTCAGAAGAGGGCCCTAGATCCCCTGCTATTGGAGTTACAGATGGCTGTGAACTACCATGTGGGTGTTGGGAATTAAACCTGGATCCTCTGCAAGAGAAACAGTGCTTTTAACCACTGAGAATCTCTCCAGCTCCAGAGGTAACATTTTCCACAAGGCTTTCCTAAAGATTCTTAGCAACCATGGCCTCTACTTTTGATTCTCACAGTCATTTTGTCTATACTGTTTAACTTTTAGAGCGAATGCTTTTTATATTATCTGGTTTAAAATGTGCCAAGTGTATCTAAAAAGGACTTAAGGTGGCTATATTTTCCTATTGAATTTTAAATTAACTTACTTATTAGAATGATTAAAATGTATAAAATTAGAAATCGTAAGGTTAGTTTTTTATATAACAAACTTTCCTTTTCCCAAATGCTCAATACATTTTTAATAATAAGGAGGAAGTTATTCTGGACAGCGGAGAATGGGTCTGTTCAGTCCCGGTCTATGAAAGTACTACAAAGGTATACTTGCACACATAGAAATCATTTTATACATCACAAGGTACTGTGATATTTTCACTAAGGATCATCACTAAATTTAAACTTAGAAAAATATTTGAAGTAAATTTTGAAATTTTATCTTTTTGTGTAAGTGTTTGAGTGTGTGGATATGTCTGTGAGTGTGGTGTGTGTAGACATAACATGGCATTGGTGGGCACTGAGCATGCTGCATTATCACTGTCCACCTACTCCTGTTTCCAACTGCTGCAGTGCTAAGCTCACAGGCATGTTAGTGCGCATGCCTGGCCACAGGTACTGGTATGTGAACTCTGGTCCTCACGCTTGCACAGCAAGCACTCATTACAGATGAGCCATCTTTGCAGTCCCCATTCAAAGCTTTTTAAAAACACACCTTCTACTATAATTTGACCTAATCCATTAATTCTTTTTCCTTAGATATGTATATGTTGATAGAGTAATATATTTCAATATGCCACCTACCTTGTTTTTTTCACAGTGATGTTGCTGCTGAGTTTTTCCAGGCGACACTCCCCAGTATCATGGTTAATAATCAAAATGCATTCTTTTAAGTAAGGTCTCTTGGAACCTTTGAAAACCGTGACTGGTGGAGTTGAACCCTGTTAAAAAAGTTAATCATCATTACTTGAAATTTAACACGACAATTCTATTGAACTGGGTGTTGAGTTTTTCTGGTACTTTTTCTCAATCCATGTTATGTATCCAGTCACTTAAAAACTTTTGAAGCTTACTACCCTTAAAGCAATGAGTGTGGCTTAAAACAAAAATACAAAGACACAAGTGGTTTAAAAAGACTGAGATCAAGGCACAACTAGTAGTGTAGGGCTTTAGTCCCAGCTACTCAAGAGGCTGAGTCAGAAGGGTCCCAAGTCCAAAGCCTGTCTGGATTACAGAATGAGATCAAAGCTAGGTTAGGTAACTTAGAGGGATCCTATAGCAAGATAAAATCTGAAGAAGAGGATTAGGAATGCAGTTCAGTGGTATGGCACTTCCCTAGCATGTATTGAGCCTTTAGGTTCAAACACACATGGATACATACATACACACACACATGGACATGTGCATACACACACACACACACACACACAAGCTGAGATCTCAAACCTGTTATCACTGAAGAAAGGGAAAAGAAGATATAATTACCCCCAAAACAGTAAGATTTATTTTATTTGCATTAGGCAACTGGAATTCAATCTGATCTAATCTAAAAATATATTTACAGGAAAGGAAACAGAAATCTTGAATCATATTCCTATTTTGAGATGATCAAGATAGCATCAATAAAAAACAAATCTTATTAATTTTCTTAAGTGTGATAACAACATATGGTTACCCAAAAATTGAAAAGTCCTTTCTGAAACAATGATTTAAGAAATGAGTTAAACTTTAGGATTTTTCTTTAAAATACACCAGAAGAGAGTGGTAAGTGAATAATTTCTCAGTAACAGTTAATTTTTCTAGTATGTTATTTTTTACAAGTTAAAGAGAGAATGGGGAGAAGGCTCACTTGGTCAATGCTTGCCACACAAGCGAAGGACCTGAGTTCTATCCCTAGCACCCACAGTAAAAGGTAGGCATGGTGGTGCATATTCATGATCTTAGCACTGGAGAAGAGACAGGCAGATCTCTGGGTTTTTCTGGCCAGGTAGCCTAGCCTGCTCTATGAGCCTCAAAAGGTAAGGATATTGGCTCCTAAGAAATGACATGTAGAGATGAGCTCTGGCCTCAATTCACGTGTGAATGCATGTGCAAACACACACACACACACACACACACACACACACACACACACACACACACGAAACTCAGCCCATTACTGTCCTTCTGTAACTTCTCTTATTTTTGTTATTGCCACCTCCAAACACAAAAATTATATGTTATCATTATCTTAGTCTCACACAAATAATTCCTAAACAGAGTTCACCTATTTTTGAATTTTATAAAAGTGTATTCACATTTTAAAGCACTTTAAAACTAATTCTTATCAAGTACAATAGCGCAATTGGGTTAGAAAAGGGTGACTGAAAGAAAGCTAAAGGCCCATCATACGTCAATAATTTAGAGAGCCACTAAAAGAAGTATGAGATAAATTTGTTGACTGAAAATTTCACAAACAGGAAGTAGGTTAGGGACTTGTGATAGGTGTGGACTGGAAATGATGAGAGAGAGAGAAAGGAAGGAACAACTTTATTAGCCTTTCCTTAAGACTAAAGTGATCTACAGAAATCAAGAACACATGGTGCATAAATGAAAACCTAGCTGGACTGGATCCCGAAGGGTGCTATGTAGAACACTTATCCAGGGGCAGCTGAGCTGGAGAGCCAGAAGACTGGTTATAACAGCAGCAGCAGCAGCAACAACAACAACAACAACAACAACAAACCCAAAACAAAAAATAAAGACAAACAAAATGAGGCTTATTCAGTCGGGGACTTGATTTTCAGACTTGGCTTTTAGAAGTGAGTAAATTATACTAAAATAGAAACCTATGAATGCCAAGCTATAGTTAACAACAGATTTGTACATCTATTTTTCTTTTTTATTTATTTTTTAATTTTTATAGATTTATAATTCCATTCATAAATACCATTCAAAATTTCCACTTTCTCCCCTCCTACCATTGCCCTTCCACTCCCCTCTCCCCCTCCAATCCTAAGAGAGGACAGGGTACCCTGCCCTGTGGGAAGTCCAAGGCCCTCCCCTCTCCATCCAGGCCTAGGAAGGTGTGCATCCAAACAGACTAGGATCCCAAAGAGCCAGTACATGCAGTAGAGACAAATCCCAGTGCCATTATCATTGGCTTCTCAGTCAGCCCCCATTGTCAGCCACATTCAGAGAGTCCAGTTTGATCACATGCTCGTTCAGCTCCAGTCCGGCTGGCTTTGGTAAGCTCCCATCAGATCAGGCAAACTGTCTCAGTGGGTGTACCAACCCCTTGTGGTTCTGAATTCTTTGCTCATATTCTCCCTCCTTCTGCTCTTCAAATGAACCTTGGGAATTCAGTCCAGTGCTCCGATGTGGGTCTCTGTCTCTATCTCCATCTCCATCACTGGGCCTCGAAGGTTCTATGGTGATATTCAAGATAGTCATCAGTGTGACTATGGAACATGGCCAGTTCAGGCACCCTCTCCTCTACTGCCCAAGGAACTAGCTGGAGACATCCCCGTGGACACCTGGATGTCTAGAGCCAAGCCTCTTGCCAACCCTAAAATAGCTCCCTTAATTAAGATATCTTCTTCCCTGCTCCTATATCCGCCCTTTCTCCATCTCAACCATCCTACTCCCCCGAGCTCTCCCCAATCCTCCCCTTCTCCCTTCTCTCTCCCCCTTCCACCTTCCCCCATCCCACCCCACCATGCTCCCAACTTTTGCCTGGAGATCTTGTCTGCTTCCAATTGCCAGGAGGATCTATATATGTCTTTCTTTGGGTTCACCTTCTTATTTAGCTTCTCTAGGATCACGAACTATAGGCTCAATGTCCTTTGTTTACAGCTAGAATCCACTAATGAGTGAGTACATACCATATTCATCTTTTGGGGGCTGGGTTATTTCACTCAAAATAGTGTTTTCTATTTCCATCACTTTGTGTGCAAAATTCAAGATATCATTGTTTTTTTTTTACCGCTGAGTAGAACTCTAATGTGTTTATGTGCCACATTTCTTTATCCATTCTTCCACTGAGAGGGGCATCTAGGTTGTTTCCAGGTTCTGGCTATTACAAATAATGCTGCTATGAACATAGTTGAACAAATGCTTTTGTAGTATGATTGGGCATCTCTTGGGTATATTCCCAAGAGTGGTATCGCTGGATCCTGAGGTAGGTTGATTTCCAATTTCTTGAGAAACCGCCACACTGATTTCCAAAGTGGTTGCACAAGTTTGCATTCCCACCAGCAATGGATGAGTGTTCCCCTTACTCCACATCCTCTCCAGCATAGGTTATCCTTGGTGTTTTTGATTCTAGCCATTCTGACAGGTGTAAGATCTCAAAGTTGTTTGATTTGCATTTCCCTGATCACTAAGGAAGTTGAACATGACCTTAAGTATCTTTTGGCCATTTGAACTTCTGTTGAGAATTCTCTGTTCAATTCAGTACCACATTTTATAATTGGGTTATTTAGAATTTTAATGTCTAGTTCTTGCATTCCTTATATATTTTGGAGATCAGACCTTTGTCTGATGTGGGGTTGGTGAAGATATTCTCCCATTCAGTAGGTTGCCTTTTTGCCTTAATAACCATGTCCTTTGCTGTACAGAAGCTTCTCAGTTTCAGGAGGTCCCATTTATTCATTGCTGCTCTTATTGTCTGTGCTACTGGGGTTATACATAGGAAGTGGTCTCCTGTGCCCATGTATTGCAGGCTACTCCCCACTTTCTCTTCTATCAGGCTCACTGTGGACAGATTTATATTGAGGTCTTAAATCCATTTGGACTTGAGTTTTGTGCATGGTGATAGATACGAACCTATTTTCATTCTTCTATAGGTTGACATCCAGTTATGTCAGCACCATTTGTTAAAGATGATTTCTTTCTTCCATTGTATAATTTTAGCTCCTTTGTCAAAAATCAGGTGTTCATAGGATTGTGGATTAATATCTGGGTCTTTGATTCAATTCCATTAGTCAACATCTCTGTTTTTATGCCAATACCAAGCTGTTCATTACTATAGCTCTGTAATAGAGTTTGATGTCAGGGATGATAATGCCTCCAGAAGTTCCTTTATTTTATAGGATTGTTTTGGCTATCCTGGGTTTTTTGCTTTTCATATAAGGTTGATTATTGTTCTCTCAAGGTGTGTGAAGAATTTTGTTGGAGATTGCATTGAATCTATAAATTGCCTTTGGTAGAATTGCCATTTTTACTATGTTGATCCTCCCAATCCAAGAGCAAGGGAGGAGATCCTTCCATTTTCTGGTATCCTCTTCAATTTCTTTCTTCAAAGCCTTAAAGTTCTTTTCAAATAGATCTTTCACTTCCTTGGTTAATGTTACCCCAAGATACTTTATGCTACTTGTGGCTATTGTGAAAGGTGATGCTTCTCTGATTTCCTTCTCTGCTTCTTTATTCTTTGTGTATAGGAGGGCTCCTGATTTTTTTTTTAGTTGATCTTGTATCCTGACACATCACTGAAGGTATTTATCAGCTATAAAAGTTCTTTGGTAGAGTTTTTGGAGTCACTTATGTACACTATCATAGCATCTGCAAATAATGAAAGTTTGACTTCTTCCTTTCCAATTTGAATCCCCTTGGTCTCCTTATGTTGTTTTATTGCTATTGCTAGAATTTCAAGCACTATATTGAAGAGATATGGACAGCCTTGTCTTATTCCTGATTTTAGTGGAATGGCTTTGTGTTTCTTTCCATTTAATTTGATGTTAGCTGTCAGCTTACTGTATATTGCTTCTTTTATTATATTTAATATGATCCTTGTATCCCTAATCTCTCCAAGACCTTTATCATAAAGGGGTATTGAATTTTTTCAAATGCTTTTTCTGCATCTAATGAAATGATCATATGGTTTTTTCTTTCAGTTTATTTATATGATGGATTACATTGACAGATTTTTGTATGTTGAACAAGTCCTGCATCTCTGGGTGAA